CCAGTTACTCTGGTTTAATTTTGATTTATAATATCCTCCAAGACTTTATTTTCCTTGCAAATAGCCTACACAATACTGCTGTGTTTCATATTGAGGCCCATCCAATCTTAGGGAAAATGAAATGCTGATCTAAGAGCAATCATAGATCTTTGAGTTCAGTTGTATGTCTGCTTTTGCAGGCAGCCTAATCAAAATCAGACATCTGAACAGTAACAACTGTTTAATTCCTTTTTTTAAACGAACAATTCTGACAGTATTATAAGAATTTATCATATCTTACAACTTCACACTAATCACAAGAAAATTATGTGTAATGTACAGCTTTTGTTTCCACTTACATCTTACTCAAGAACATAGATACTTAACCTGAGAACCTTTTTATCTAAATTTTCTTTTTTACTTTCTCTCTTTTTCCCTTGAGTGCACTGGTAATTTCTTACTGGAAGACATCAGGTGCAGATTTTCCGTAGCAGCCAATGTCTTTTCAAGACCACAAAGAAAAGTGCCATTAAAGAATGGCTTATGCCTGTTGTTTTCTATTCGACTCCAGGATAGGTCTGAGCAACCCCTAGGCTGCTTTAACCAACATAGCTATCAATGGTCCCCATTGAACCATTTGTCAACAGGGGTTGGGGCGAGCACAGTGTTGTGGCCATAACCCTATGCACTTCTCAAATCCAGAATTCAATTGAAGCTGTGGGGAGTCAGGTCATTCCAACATTCCTTGCACCATCTAACTTTTATAAGAAAACCAAAACAGGGCAGCAAATCAGACCTATTAAGTGCAATTCATATGATTATAACAGAACCGCATGCCATATGTGTGCCATTAATATAGGTATACTTAATATTTCTCTCTCTCTTTTAGGTTATCTACAAACAGCTTATTGCTTCCAACTGATCTTTTCTCTGTTAAAATGCAAAATGTCACATGCTGTTCATGAACTTATGTTGCAACAGCAATTATAGTCCTGGAGATAACACCTGAGGTGTCTGACCTTATCTGGAATTATTTTATTGACTAACACATTAATACTTCATGATCTTACATAGTGATGTATAAGGAAGATTATACTTGACACTCAATTTGTGAAACCTGTTTGAAAGGCTGTATTTATGCACATTGGTCTTGGCTAAGATGGTCTACCTATTGATTCTTATCTCAGATTCTTTTATAATATTTTTTTCCAACTGCTCAGTAATTTGTCATAGAGTTTCTGCATTAAGGGAAATGAAGGAGAAGGGTTTTTGACTGAATGGTTGATACAGAATTATCTTTTTAACTTTTAAATCTGTATGTTTGCAAGTAATGCTTTATTAAATGTACTGCTTAAATTCAATCCCCTGTAGTATATTACGTGTCCATTTTCCATGGGCTTGATCTGCAAGCTGCTAAGCACTTAGGGCATTTATACATGTAGCGGGGGGGGGGGGTGG